TAGAATATCTCAACATAGTAACTGTTTCACAATATGCAAAAAGAATTGTTTTGCAAATTGAAACTACCGAATTTATGCCAGATAATACAGAAATGACTTCATTATTTTTCAGTTACAGAGTCATAATTAGGAATATGACATATATATGACACACATCCGATCCCATATGGGTCTGCCAGGTGAGGTGGCTAGGCAGGGAAAGGAATAGGTGTGAATAAACAGGAACTTGCTCTCTATTCTGCTGGGAAGTTAGTCAGTTAAATTGGCAATGGGTTTCTCCTTCTGCCTGGTCTCTCAGCATTTTTATTAAGATCTATTTAGAACTTATGTTATTAGCAATTCTCAAGAAACACAAGACAATTGAACAGGGGCCATGCATCCCATCAGATCTCCATGGGTGAACGCTGGATTCCAGTTACAACAGAAACGACAGGAAGCTTACAAACTATTGGAAACTGAACTATTTTGTTCAGAATGACTTCTGAATCAAGGCAAAAATAAATAATGAAATTAAAGACCCCTAAGAATACAAATAAATGAATACACCACATACCCAAACTTACGGAACACAATTAAAGTAGTACTAAGAGGAAAGTTCATCCTACCAAGTGTCTTCATGATGAAATTGCAGACATTTCATAATAGAGACTTAACAGCTCACCCTAAATGTCTAGAACAAAACAAGGCAAATGCACCCAAGATGAATATGCAGCAGGGAATAATCAAACTGAGGACTGAAATCAATAAAATAGGAACAAAGAGAACAATACAAAGAATCAATGAAACAAAGAGTTGGTTGTTTGAGAAAAATCAACAAAACAGACAAATCCTTGTAAAAGGCAGAGAGAATGTCCAAAAATAAAAAAATCAGAAATGAAAGGGGGCATAACAACAGATGCCAGGGAGGTGTAAAGAATCATTAGGTCATACTTCAAAAAATGTACTTCACAACATTGGGAAGCCTAAAAGAATTAGACGAATTTCCTGATAAATACCACTTACCAAAGTTAAACTAAATCCAGGTAAGTGATTTAAATAGACCTATAGCTCCTAAGGAAAAAGAAACAGTCAATTGAAGTTGTCCAAACCAAAAAGACTCCCAGGGCCAAGCAGTTTCATTGCAGAATTCTACCAGAATCCTAAAGACCTTATTCCAATAATCTACAAATGAGAAACAGAAGGAACATTGCCAAATTTATTTTCTAAGGTTACATGCAACCCACACCAAGGGTCAAAAAAATAATGGAAAGGAATTATAGATAAATTTCCTTTATGACTTATGAGTATAGATGCAAAATTACTCAATAAAATATTCACAATGTGAATCCAAGATGCATCAAAATTTCATCTACCCATTAGATGTTTAGAAAAAAGCTTTGACTAAAAGGAACACCCTTTTATCATAAAAGTTTTAGAGAGATCAGGGTCACAGGGGACATAGCTAAAGATAATAAAGGTAGTATTCAGCAAGCCTATAGTCCACATCAAATTATATGGAGATAAATTCAAATCAATTCCACTAAATCAGGATCAAGTCAAGGCTTTTCAATCTTTCTATATCTATTAAGTATCATAAGTGAAGTTCTAGCTAGAGCAGAATGACAACTAGAGATAATCAAGGAGATAAAAATAGGAAAGGAAGTACTCAATGTACCATTATTCACAGTTGATATGAGAGTATATACAAATGACTCAAACACCCAAACAATTCTACGATGGAACTCCTACAGCTGATAAACACTTTCCAGGAAGTGCCTAGATATAGCATTACTAAAAAGAAAAAGAAAATAAAACAGTATCCACCCTATATTGAAAGAAATCAGGGAAGCAACATCCTTCACAGTAGCTCAAAATAATATAAAATGTGTTTATGTACCTCTATGAAGCAAGTGAAAAACCTGTATCACACAAATTCTTTCCTAGTTTATCACACACACACACACACACACACACACACACAGACATAACTACCAACAACGCAGAGATTAGGACATGAGCTACTAATACAGGAAGGAGCTGATGCATGGGAGTACTTAAAAGGAAAAATATGGGAAAGAAATTGGCATAATTATGTTTTAATCTTAAATATTAAAGAAAAATATAGCTTTAATAATAGCCAGTGTACAGATGAGTTATCTTGGAAGGTTTGTCCATAGTTAGAAAAAGTTAATTTCACTGTCCTTAGCAACAAGGGAAATGCAAATTCAGAGTCTCTCCACCTCAGAGTACCAAAAAATCAAACTCATGCAAGTTTCAGTCTGAGGAAAGAGTCATAGAGCCACTGCCAATGCGGATGTAGATCAGTGCAGACACTGGCAATTCTGGTTCCAGGGTTATAACTGAAACACAGCTTTCTACACTGCTGCTTAGTATTCCATGAGATGTGAAGTCAACACACCTGAGTCATCCATATCCTGTGGTCACTGCTGCACCATTGACAGCAGCTAAGATGTGACCAGCTTAGACATCCACCAAGTGATGAGTGAATACAGGAAACACAATGTGTCTATTCAGTATACCTTCATTCAGACATAAACAAAAATGACATGATGGCATTTGTAAGAAACAATGGAGATCATTGTGTTCAGAAAATGAAGCCAAGGTGTTAAAGACAAATAGCATGGGTGTTATGATTTGTTGGACTGGATTTGAGCATGTGTGGCAGGGTGACACAGGTGGGTCATGGAAGGAGAAGGGGGACCCTGAAATCAAAGAAAAGCATCCTAAGGTTAGGAGACCAAGAAAGGGATTTGATGAGGGTGAATTGTGGGTACCCATAAAGATGGCTGCACTCCATCTTGGCTCAAGGACAGAGAGTTCAAAGCAGTCTTCAGCAAGGCATACCACCTAAAGGTCAAAGGTGTCACTATAGAAGAGTGTTTGTGTGTCTTAGTATAAATAACAACAGACCTGATTTGAGGTGTGGCTACTCCTGACCATCAAGGCTAGGGAACAGAAAGTTGAATCTGAGGTGTGGTTACTGAAGCCTTAGAGAAAGGAAGAAAAATCTGTTTGTTCTGCATGCATGGTACCATGTTCCCCTTTTGTTTAAGGTGTATGGTTGGTGGAAAATAAACTCGTAGCATTTCAGTATTGACTGAATTTGCTCTCCTGACTTTTATTCTGTGTCTGTCTTTTCTTTACTGCTTACATCTAGCCTTTCTCTCACCCATACACAGCCACTCAGGGGCAAACTTGGGGCTGCTTGGCTGGTTCTGATTGCAAGCCCACAAAGACAGCTTCCAACAGTAAATAATTCATGTGTAGGCAAGAAAAGTAAGATTAGGTTGTTAAATACCCTTCAATAGAACAGGGATCTTGACAGTAGCTGGAATCCAGTCTACTGTGCAAAGCATCATGTGACAAGATGTAGGGGCTGATTTCCATTTTGGGAGATATATTCATGTCATGGTTTTCTGGCATGGACCTGGATCCATGAGGAGAGCAAGGTGGGCTGACTGGTGTACAGCTTTGGGAAGTCAGCATGAACAGCTGTACATATACTTCAGTTATAGAGTATATATATATATATATATATATATATATATATATATATATATATAATGCATTAGGAACATCTGTTCTGTATACAGGAGGGCAATCATAGTTGATAATCTTCTATCACAGAGAGAAACAGTTGTATTGCTGTTTCTTACTGCTGCTGTTTTTGAGTATGAACTACATCCCACAGCCTCACATGTCTGTATTTAGATGGTGATGAGGCAGGGAGATACCAAACAGGAGCAGGGTAGAGTGGGAATTGCAAACATTAATATGAAAGGTAGCAGATGATACATTTCTGGACACCCCTAGCTTGCCTTCTAATGATCCTACAAACACTTGGCTATTTCTCATTTAGTAAATATTCTACCTTCTTGTAACTGTCCATGTGTGTTTGCAACATTCATTGTTTATACTAAACACCCTGGAAATGAGAGTGTCTCCCCTACAGACTCAAATACATGCCTGGAACAATGTGAGAGTGAGCTTGAGATGGTTGTGGAAGGTTTAGGTTGTTTTGGAAAGCTACTCCCTAAGAAAATGCGTCCCCAGGATCCCTGTACAGAAGGCCATGCATTTAAATCACGAAGTGACAAGCTTTACCCAAAGATGTCTAAAAACCTGGCGGTTGAATTTGTGAACAACTGGGTCTATAGGCAGGAAATTCTCAAAAGCTGGTGAATCACGGATTCTGAGAGACGCTGGGGTGAGGCACTTGTTCTTAGGTCAGAGCTTCTGCAAGCAGGCTCTGAAAGGCCCCTCATGCCCTGTGAAGCTGAAATCTAACTTACAGTGGAGTCCACAGGAGGTGTTGAGAGCAGAGCCATGGGATACCCAGCAAAGAGAGCTAAAGTTAACATATGGCAAGAGCCAGCCTGAGAGAGTCTACCAGTTCTCCAGCGACCATACCCGAGGCATTCGGTTGTCTGTGTCAGCCATGGAGTTTAGGATATGCGGGTTTTACTGATTGGTTATTGTCTTGCTTTGAACTTGTTATTCCTTGCTGTGTCACCATAGTTCCATTTTGAAAATGAAATTTAAACTCTGTGCATTTGTCTCCTGTGAGTCTGTAATGTGCTGTACTGTTTTAATTTCACAGATAGTCACAGTTAATGGACTTCCTAAAGTTTGAGGAAAGAGAATGGGTTTTGGAGATTTGAACCCTCCTAAAACTGTTCATATAAAATGAGATTCATGACATAGGATCAGGGCTGTGGACAGAAGGTGCCACCTCTGCACTGAATGTTTTCCAGTGACCAGTTATACTTGGTCAACTCTTGTGAATTAAAACATTGGAATCCCAGAAAAGTCTTTGTCAACTTTCTGATCATTAAGGAAAAATGGGCATCAGAATCCCTGGAAACAGCTGATCCAGGGTTGGGAAACTGACTCTGTAATGAGTGAACAAGGACTCCTTCACTTAGAACACCATCCCATAAGCAGGCATTCCTTCAAGCAGGAGGTTTTCATGACATAAATTTTCAGACACTGTGGTATCTAATTATAGTGTTTTATTAGTGAGACTTTGACTGGTAGTTCACATCACAGTGTTGATATGAAGTGAATTCACCGCTTTACTCCATAATGTGATGGAGAGGACCCCTCCTGTTCCGTCTTCTCCCCCAGTCCATTCTCTTCAGCATCATGCAGCTCACATCATGGGCAGAAGCTCCTGAGGCAATGAAAGAGTGATTGATTACTCCTAGACTGTCTTATTGCTCCCAGTCACCCCCCTTAGTCCAGCTGGAAGAAAAATGAACATCACATTGACCAGAAAGACTGCAGCATGTGACTCTGTCACAGTACCTTCCCTGGAGCCTTTTTCCTTCATGGTCTCCATGTTTAATTTCCAATCAAGAAGAAAAGGTTGTCATCCCCAACCCAATATAATCTCTACCCACACTTTATAGAGCAGAACATTTAATGAAACAGTTGTCCCAGAGCTGAAGCCAGTGAGTACATCAGTTCCTTCTTGGCTTCCTGTGGGTAGGGAAGGGTAGGGAGGAAATATTGTCATACCTAATACATCGCTGGTGTCACTTAGCTGTTCTTTTCCAAATTCTCAGATGTAGGTGACTCTTCAGTATACTGTAACCTTCCACAACAATTTTTACTGAATTCTTCATCCGTCTTCATACAAAAGAAAATAAAACATTAAAAAATGAAGAGACTATCTGTAAAGATCTTAAGGGAATTTACCCAGAATTAATCATATCTCACTCACCATGTCACTAAATTCATTCAGGCCCAGGGAGTAGCTGACCTTGCCCTGTTCATATTCCACATTATGCTTCTCAACTTTTTTCTTATTTTCCTCCCACAGTGCTCTTCTGCGTCCTTCCTCATCCTGGAAATGAATACAACAGGTAGTGTTTTCTTCGTGTTAACTCCACACACAAGGTGACCAGAGGTAGTGTAGCGACAGGTAAAGATGGTCCCTGGAGAGGGATCTCAGGACACTACAGGCAGGCATCTCCACACGCAAAGGATCTGCAAGGCTGGCCACCTAAGTTCACAGTGCCTCTTGCAAGTCCTCAGCTGTGGCTGTCCTCTGGCCACATTTATGCTACAGACTCCCAAGAGTCAGGGCCATTCTTCCTGAAACCCCTCTGGACAGTGTCCGTGTTACCAACCTGGCTGTAGGATTTTCCAAATTTCTTCTTCCATTCCTCCCATTCAGCATCCAAACTGGGATCACGTGAAGGAGCAGTAGAGGTCATTCTCAAGCAGGAAGACAGGATCCAGAACCTAGGGAACAATGAATTGTCCAATAACAGTGGTAACCCCTTAAAACATACACACCAGTCATATTACGCATACTTACTAAGCTATATTTAAGAATGTGTGTGTGTGTGTGTGTGTGTGTGTGTGTGTGTGTGTGTGTAGCAACAACTAATGAAAAGAGGTCAGAATTTTTCTCATTTTGAAAAATTCCCATGCACTTTACACATGCATGCACGAGACATGCATTGTGCACTCAAGTACATATATATACAGTAACACAGTATTTATTTGAAATGACTTTTTCCTTTAAAAGCTAGCAATGTGGTTAGTTGCCAGCACATTACCACTAGGAATGGCTAACACAAATCTTCCTCAATTAATGCGAAGCTCCCATGGCACTGAACACACAGACAGAAGAAAACGCAGGATGCAAGGTGAAACATGAGCACAGCCCGCAGTGACTACAGTCTAATGCTGGCGTGTTTATGAAGCCTGTGTGAGGTTGGATTATGCAGATCTTCAATGTCACAGGCCGTGGGTGAAACCTCGCTCTGATTTCTGCAGCACCACCTGATTCCCTAAGAACCTGATCCGTTTCTTTGAGAAAGAAATAGTAGCATAGTCTAGCCAGTTATACTGAATTCGATTTTTCTTTCCTCCCTACAAACAAACCCTTACTTGAAAGAACAATAAATATAATGAAAAAATTTTAATTGATCCTAATATTTAAAAAGAATCAGGAAGGATATCTCTGAAGGTATGAATCAGGAAAGGTAGGGGGAAGCAATGATGTAATTCTAGTATTATCTTACAACAACAACCACAAAAACCAAAGTAAAAAAAAAAACCAAAACATACAAAAAGAAAGCAAAGAACAACAAAACCTAGAGAAAGAAGAGAAGCCCCAGGTAACCAGTTAAGCAGAGCAAAGCTAAGAGGATGCCTGTGGAGCATGAGTCAGAAGGATGCAGGCCCCTGTGCCTTGCTTGTCTCTGCTCCTACCTGGAGTGCAGCAGCTTCTGTTCCAGTGTGGAGACCAGGACTGTGCTGTCAGGGCTTTCTAAGAGCTACTTATAGAGGCATGTAGTGGGCCATTAGCAGAGCAGCTGTGGCCCCACCCTTTGCTTCCTGGAACAATGGCTAAGCCCTCCCTAAAGCCTCAGCCTTGCCAACAGAGTAGATCCATCATCTAACTTGACTAGTTTGTCAGGCAGGGCAGGCAGGAAAACGTGACACTGGAGACTGGCCAGACCACACATGCACCCAAGCTGAGTCACAAAGGCTGTGGCTTTTCTGAGAATCCTAAAACTCACAGATGTCCTGTTTTGCATAATTGACAGTCATGAGAAAGAACAGAATTGTGGGAAGAAGAACCCACAGGGCACAGTTAGTGTGTGTCACATTCCTATGTCAGATTGCACATTAATATGGAGAACATATGCTGGCCTTAGACTGTGAAGGCACTGCTGACAGTGCATTTGGAGAATCAAGCAATGTGTATCTGCCTTGCATGAATCAGCCTATGATAGAAGGAGCATCTACAGAGCGGACGAAATAATCAGAAAAAGCAGAGGTGTCGGAAGCACTTGTCACTCAGGCTAGACCATCAGTGTCTCAGTCTAAGGTAGACAGGAGTGTCTACAGAGTGGATGAAATAACCAGAAGAAAAGAGAGATATTAGAGATACTTGTCATCCAGTCCAACCATCAGTTTCTCAGCCTAGGCTTTCACGGCTTTAGATAACCTAGTGTAGGTGCTCAAACTAAAAAAAAAGAAAGAAAGAAAGAAAGTGATGCCTCATGTTTACAAAAATGTGTACTTCAGGGTTTCACTGGACCCAGAGAATTTACTGTGTTTTTGCACAGACGTTTCTGGCCAGCCATCTCCCGCAGTCCTTCAACACAGAGGCTATATTAATCATAATTGTTTGGCCAATTGCTCAGGTTTCTTATGGCTAGCTCTGTATTAATTATTAAGCAATATCTATTAATTTGTGTACCTCCACATGGTCTCTGCTTACCCAAGTATGTCCTGGTATCATACCTTCCCTGTAGTTCCATGGTGTATCTTTTTGCATTCCACTACCCAGACTTCTCCTAATCTGGTAGCCCTGCCTATATCAGAAAAGAGGATTCAGGAGTGACTGAAAATTACAGAGAATGAAAATTAGTTCAGATAAAGAAATCTGGCTTGTTTCTATTTTAATATATCACATGAAAAGGTTAAAAAAAATAAAGTAGATTCATGCCCATTCACGTTGAGTTTGTAAAGTTTTATTGTTCATTGTAACACAGAGAGTTGCTATTTAAGTGTTTGTATGTTTGTTACAGGCAGAGTTGGATAGATTCAGCCCCATGGAATGTGTGTGCCTTCCCCTCTGTCATGGTGGATTGCCAGTGGCCATGTCAGAGGAGCAGCCGATGGCAATTGACTTCAGGGCATCAGCCCACCAGGGGATAAAACCAGATGAGTGAATCTCAGATGGGCACGTCCCTGAGAGCATCAGCCCAAGAACGTCTCTTCCTACTGTGGCGTCTTTGCATGGTTGCTGCTGCCATCTTTCTCAGGTATCTGGCATGGTGTGAATGGGTGTGTGGATATCCCCCACTGCCTGTAATATAGTGTGTTCATCTCATGGCGAGATCCCATTCTACTGGACATTTTTACCTGTGGGCTATGGGGAAGATGATTTCCTCCTAGGCTATACTGATTCACTAAGGCAATGATTTTTCACAAGAATGTTAGTTTAAATACGATTTTCATTGTTGAAGTTCTTTGATAAAAACCTAGTAAGGAATTATTTTAGAGATTATTTTGGTGGAAAAATTAACATAGGTAAAAGTAAGACAAAGTGTTGCCACTGCCTCTGATAAAGCAGAGTCTGCAGAGATTAAAAAGGAAAGCAAGGAAGTGTCACAAGCCTGGACCACATGGTTTTCTTTTGAGGATACAGGCTACTGATTAAGAAAAAAAAGTTAATTTAACTGCTGGGTCTTATTCCATTGTGTAAATGTACCACATTTTCCTTGTCCAGTCTTTGGTTGATGTGCAACTAGGTTGTTTTCAGTTTCTGGTTATTATGTACAATGCTGCTATGAACATAGTTGTGTCCTTGTGGTATGACTGAGCATCTTTTGGGTATATGCTCAAGAGTGGCATCATTGGGTCTTGAGGTAGATTGATTCCCAATTTTCTGAGAGACCACCAAGCTGATTTCCAAAGTGGCTGTACAATGTTCATTCTCACCAGCAGTGGAGGTGTTTTCTGCTTACTCCGCATCCTCTCCAGCGCAAGCTGTCATCAGCGTTTTTTATCTTAGCTGTTCTGGCAGGTGTAAGATGGTATCTCAGAGTCATTTTGTCTTGCATTTCCCTGATGACTAAGAATGATGAGCAACTCCATTAATGTCTTTCAGGGATTTGAGATTCTTCTGTCGAGAATTCCCTATTTAGACATATTTTAAAATAGAATTATTTGGTATTTTGATGTCTAATTTCTTGAGTTCTTCATATGTTTTGGATATCAGCCCTCTGTGAGATGTGGGTTTGGTGAAGATCTTTTCCCACTATGTAGGCTGCTGTTTTTTTCTTATTGATCATGACCTCTGCCTTACAGAAGATTCTGAGTTTCAGGAGGTCCCATTTATTAATTGTTGGTGTATATTCAGGAAGTAGTCTCCTGTGCCAATGAATTCAAAGATACTTCCCACTTTCTCTTCTATCAGATTCAGTGTAACTGGATTTAAGCTGAGTTATTTGATCTACTTGGATTTGAGTTTTGCACATGGCAATAGATGTGGATCTACTTGCATTCTTCTGCATGTGGACATCTAGTTATGCCAGCACCACTTGTTAAAGATGTTTTTTTTTTCATTGCATAATTTTGGCTTGTTAGTCAAAAATAAGGTGTTCATAAATGTGTGGATTTATGTCTGTGTTGTCAATTCAATTCCATTGAGCCACATGTCTGTTTTTATGCCAATACAAGCTTTTTCTTTTACAATGACCTCATGAAATTTGCAGGTAAATGGATGAAACTAGAAAAAAAAATCATTCTGAGTGAGGCAATCCAGACACAGAAAGACAACATGATATCTATCATTCATAAATGATACTAGGAGTAAAGTATAGGGTAAACAACCTACAATCCACAGCCCTTGAGAGGCTAGATAACCAGGAGGGCCCAAATGAGAAAAGGGGAATAGAGAAGACTTCTTGGAACCTGGGGGTGGGGAAGGGGTGATGTAGGGATGGACGCTTGAGGGAACAGGTTGGGTTTGTTGAGTTTGGGAGGTGGGTTGGTGAAGTACATAGGGGAAATGCAATGAAAGAGATGTCTTGATAAGAGAGCCATTTTGGGGTTAGTGATAAGCCTGGCACCAGGAAAACACCTCAGAGTCC